TAAAAAAATAAAAAATAGGCAAAGTTTTGTGAAGAGAGGTGTCCGGGTATGGCGCCATAATTGTGAGGCAGCGTGGTGAAACCAAGCGCTCGTCAAATAACGAAATTGGAAAAATAATATATTATAGGCTTTTTTACGACGGTATGGACATTTTTATCGAATTTTTTGTTTTGTTTTGACTTAGCCTCTTTGAGGTCCATATAAAAACACATTTCCAAGTGAATTTTGCTGAAAAACATTGGTTAGAGGCACACATTATGCTTTTTTTAGTTTCCAAAGTCTGTCGTTTAGCTATGGGGTGACCAAACTTTTGCAGCCATTTTCTGGATAATTTCACCACTGAAATCAGGCGCCCTCACTTGATTAAATCGCAGATATCTTGAGTTCTCTTCCAGGCAAATAAATCAGCTGTCAGATGATACCAATAACTCCACATGCCCAAACATTGACGAGCGCCTGATTCCACCGCGTCGCAACACATATAGACATCCTACTATGTGGAACCAGAGGCGTAGAATCTATACTACAGATGGTAGGCTACTTAGGCAACCAGTAGTGTGAATAGCGAGCGTGCAATGTGTAGACCGGCCTCAAAGACATGATTTATAACCTCCTTGGTTGACCTAGCCATTTCCCACGGACTCTCAAGCTATGGAAGTTACCAAACTTTGGCGGCCAATTTCTTGATAATTTTACCTCTGAAACCAAGTGACGCTTTCTTCTTCAACCGCAAATATTTCGACTTCTATCCAACATTGATGGATAATGTCTTCACCAAAAGGACGGTAAATGAACGGGCGTGAAGATGATAGCAATAATCCCGTTGCCCAAAACTTGACGAGCGCCTGATTCCACCACTTCGTGACACAGATGAAAATGTTTGGTGTGTCCAGAGCGCTCACATGACCTTAATATGCAGTTGCGAGCGCCGTAAAACATCTACCCCCCCAAAAAAAAACAACAAAAAAAGTTTTTTGAAGAGAGGTCACCGGGTATGGCGCCATAATATCATACATCCTATGTGGATCCAGAGGCGTAGAATCTATACTACAGATGGTAGGCTACACAGGCAACTAGTTGTGTGAATAGTGAGCGTGCAATGTGTAGACCTCAAGTCTCAAGGACCTTATAACCTCTGATAGACCTGCACGGTTTTCAGTTTGCCAAAAGAGTTGGTGTGTAAGTGCTACATATTATGTTGGCCTATTAATATTTTTTATAGCGATACTATGCCTAGCAGACTTACTTGTTAACGTTAAGTTAGGGCCGTTTAATATTTCTCTCTATTTCCCGGACAACCCGCCTGTCTCCCCAGCCCAACACGGCTACTCAGTGAACAGGCATATAGACAGTCCGTTTGCCCCCACCCGAGGCGCTAAACTATATTTACCACCTCGCCCCTACCCTAGGCGATCATAAATCATATGACCGTCTAGCCCCTACCCCATTTTGAAGGGCGGTTGGCACGTGCCCATTCATGTGCGCAATATCCGGGGTCATTGTGGGGGTCGCAGTGCTGTAACAGACGTGTCTTTCCGGAACAAGGAACACAACAACATGTCCTCGTCGTTTTTCGAAAGAACAATTCTGAAATTATACAAACTCAGCCCCAAAAATGTGAAATTATGGGATTCTGTTAATTTTAACAAAGAATGACAACGGAAAATAATCAGAAATGATGCAAAAAATTATTAAATTTGGCAAAATTATGCGGGGCGCATAAAACCACGACGGGGCAGCACAACAGGCCTGCTGAGATTAATGTCGGTTATCGGGAAAAACACGACATGGGGTCGGGGAGTTGTGTGTGACGATTACTAATCTTCATGAGTTATCTTTTATCAGCAGATAAGACACGCACAAAGCAAATTAGAATAATTGTAATGTGCATCAACAGGTAGGCTATACTACAACTATAATATTATAGCAATTTAACAAGAAACCATTATCACAATCAATCATGACTAGCATGAGACGGAAATGAAAGAAAGAGGATACCCAGCCCAACAAACAAGCAAACAAACAAACAAACAAACAACAAAACAACTAAACAGCAAAACAAACATTTACCAACCAAGAAAAAAACTCTCAAACAACCAAGCAATTAACTGACAAACCTAAAGACGAAACAGCAGAGCAAGGAGCCAGTCATCCATCCATCCGTCCAACCATCCATCCATTCATTCATCCAACCATCCATCCAACCATCCATCCATCCATTCATCCAACCATCCATCCAACCATCCATCCAACCATCCATCTATCCAGTCATCCTTCCATCCATCCATCCATCCA